TAAATATTTTTTTCTTCCTTGTATTCACTGGGATATATAGGGGTACCACATAGGTCACACTTGATAGGGTTTTCTGTGTGTAGTCCTCCTACTTCAATACCAGAATCACCCAGTTGTTTTTTTTTTTAATTGCATATGTAGCCTTATCTGTGACCAAAAGAATCAAAGTGTGACTTCTATTTTTGTCTTTTTTCTCAAGATTTATTGTCAGGAGCATTAAGGCTCAAGAATTATTACTTTATTTGCATAATGAATAGAAGATAAAATCCCTTGCTGGGAAGGTGGTAGGCAGAGTTTAAAATAGAGGTGGTAGGCAGAGTTAAAAAGAGTGGTAAAGATTTGAAATAACCTCTGTAAGGAATGGTGGAAGAAATCTTAATGAAACCTGAAAACATTCCTGAGCGGATCTGTTGCACAACTAAAACTGTCGATGATGATAATAGTCCTTGTGATTGTCTGTGGAGGGCCTCCATACCTATTAAATATTTATTGAGGGTATGAGGCATGGCCAATTTAAGTACTGATACAAAAGAATATTTCCAAAAGGACAGGATAAGATCACTGAAAACCTAACTGGGGAGGAAAACAAGCATATATGAATGACATCAACAACATAATACATGTATTATGTTGTCAGACAGTAACAGTTGTGTTGTATTGTGATAATAATCATTGTTTATTAGCTCACAAATTCCCCAATAAGAAACTAGGGATGAGTGTAGTTGATAAAAGAGGTGAATTTGATCGATATCCTGGCAGGATTTGAAGGGGCATTATCATTTAAGTCAAGTGAAGATGTTGCCACACAAACTAACTTTATTGATCTATATATACACTGCCAAGTCTGCCATAGTGACGAACATCTATAGGAGTAAGATACACCTCCTCGGCCTAAAAGAGATTAGTCTAAGAAATAAGCCACGGCTGACTATGACTGGATATTGAAGCAATGACAAATCCAAGGAAAGAAAAGTCTTGGGGCTGCCGTGGAGAAACATGCCGGGTAATAGAATGGAATTGACTGAGTCTAGTCTATTGGGTTGCACACAAAAGATCAAACTGCCACACATATGAGTTCAAATAAAAATTGTTTACTTAATTTTCAGAGCTCCATAACAAGATTGTATTTACACAGCATGGAAAGAATAATAATTGAAGGAGTCCTCACAGCAGTGGCTGTAAAACCCCTCACACTCACACCCCTCTCAGGGTAGGTGGCTGTCTTTAGTTTAAAGTTTCTTATTTTTTAAACCACTTCAAGTAGATGAGATCTGTACTATGCTTAGCAGCCTAAATATTATATGTTTGTACATATCTGAATTACTTATACTTTTATAGTGATGCCCTTGGGAGGCTTATAAGGGGCAGTGAGGGCAGACTGCTGCATCCACTACACTAGACCCTGTCACAACATAGTTTGTTCAGCAAGGACGTAGTTTATGGAGAGCTGCACAGTCACATTTAGATTTCCCAACATTCTTGCTGAAAAGTAGCATGTTGAAACTGGCATTTAAGCAACTGTATTTAGCAAATTACAATATATAATATTAACATAAAATCAGATTACTGGAGAGGAGTAACCTTCCTTTAACAAAGAGATCTTAGAAGATGTAACAGAATGGTACCTTTTTATTGGAAGAAGGCCAAAGAGAAACATGGGGCAAAATTGGAGTTGGTTCTGCTAAGGAGGGTATCCAGGGAGCCACACGGGGACACTGGTACCTGCAGAAAGGGAGGCTGCACAGGGACAAGAGGAGGCTTCCTGTTGGGCCTGGAGCTGGCCCTGAGCACCAGTGTGTTTCAAAAGAAAGGTGGTGTAAGGCGAAAATAGTGCATAGACAAAAATCATGGAAAAAACAAAAAAGAGAAGGGGGAAAGGAAAGGAAAGGGAAGGCAGTGTTGAAAATCCCTGATGCAAAGGCCATGACAACACAGCTGCACAATCTCCCTTCTCCGGGGTCTGTCAGGTGAAGCACTGGAATTGAACTTTGACGTGTGCAGAAATACACACAGGTAAGCACTAGAACCACTAGCAGAGCATCAGGATGCTACGAGACATCTGCAAATAAAGAATGACTGAGGGGATACTCTTGGAAAATCAAGTCACTAGCGGCAGCATTGCTTGCAGTATGCAAGTCTCCAGTTCCAAACATTTGTTTCAGTTTTCATTTGTACCTACCACATTTATAGAGATGACTTTTCTAGATGTAAGCCTTAAACTACTTCATTAGGCCTTCTGGAGTTATAATGTCTAAGCATATTTATGTTAAAGTATTTTTCATAAAAGAAAAAAAAAAAAGAATGACTGAGAGGGAAATGCTATTGATGTAAAGCACAAACTTGAAAAGCACCTTTTGTCCCCAGGCCATGTGCCCTTTTGTGGGAATGAGGAGTTTGCTGCACGATTTAGACTGGTATTTCTCTCTGAATTTTGTGAGGAGAGCAAGTTGACGCCCCCAAAATCGTAAATCTTATTTTGCAGTGCTGCAGTATAATAGACTTGAATGTATGCTGCGTTTCATAATTCCCTCACATTAAAACTTTGTAACAGAAGTTTTATATGCTTTTGTGTTTATATAATGGCTGTGCCAAGAATGCCTACAAGATGGGATATTCAGATTCAAGGAGCGTGTATTGGATGCTCTTTGGGAGCCAGAGTGTGATGCATTAACATATCCATCATCCTTGCATTGCTGCTGTGAAGTAGGCTTTAAAAAAATATTTCAAATACAGTAATTATAGATTTATAGGAAGTTGCATATAGAAATATAGCATAGAGAGGTTTCATGTATTCATCACCCAGGTTTCCTCAGTTGGTTAAATTTTAGATTAGTACAATAGAGAAAGCAGGAAGTTGACATCGATAAAACCAATCTGTATGTATAGTCTCTGCCATTTGATCATATGTGTAGATTTGTGTAACCGCCACCACACTGAAGATACAGCACTATTCCATTACCACAGACACCTCTTTTCTGCCATCCCCAACTCCCAGCCATCACCACTCCCATCTCTCACCACTGGTGATTGCTAATCTGTTCTACATCTGTATTTTTTCTGTAATTTTAAGATTGTGATATAGTGGAATCCAAATATATAACCTTTAGAGACTAGAATTTTTCACTCAGCATAATGCCTTGCAAATTCTTTCACACATTGGTGACTTTTAAAAAATTATGACTGAGTCATGTCCTATTGTACGGAGGTACCAGCATTTGTTTAACCATTCATCTGCCGAAGGGCATTTTACTTGTTTCCAGCTTGGGGTTATTACAAATAAAGCTGCTATG